GAATCACAAGACCAAGCTGATTTTGACACTGTGATGACACTCAGATAGCAAAACTGTATAGCGGGAGAGAAGAGTTGTAATATATGACACAGCTTTGGTTGTAAAAGGCGTAGTCCTATATGTGATTAAAGAGGAGAATGTGTCAAGATCACAAATGCAGAGCCAGCATATCAAATAGTATCCCATTATAGTGCATGAAAGTGAAGCAGAAACATGCGACTCATTACTAGAAACACAATGTGAATACGTGAGGCATGATTTGAAAGGTAAAGAGTATAGCTGGCCCTAGTTTTGATGAGTGCCCATAGAAGAGACAAGATGATAGCACAACAGTAGATGTGAATGAACCCCTGAGGAGGAAGGGAGAACAAATGTTGCACAGTACAAAGAAATAAACTGAGGCATTATCCTAGCATGAGATGATGGGATCTATCTTGCACTAGATGCCCCTTAGAACAGATTTGGGTACCTGCTGCTTTCTCTGGGGTATGAGGGGTATTACCAGGATTTGGCTGAAACTGTGTCAAAAGCTACATTCAACTTGGCTTGCTGAGTGCCTTGTTATTCCCTGGGCAAAAGCTCTATGAACCGTGTAGGATGTTACCAGCTTCATCAGAGGACTGGCTCACTTACTTACAGAATAAGTGCTGTGCTTCACACACCCAACTAAAAGCTAAAATCTGCCCTGATATGCAAGTGTATGATTTTGTCAGTGGGAACCCCATTTGTGACTTCTGCAGCAGAAAATAAACACAGGAAGTGGTCCAGTTAGCATATTAATGAGAGAAGGAATCTGAAAAATCTAGGGATCTTAAGAAAGAAAAACACTGTGCTGGCCCAACTGACTGATGCTAGCATAATATGCTCAACTATAGTCTCCAGGCCCCAGGTTGGCAAGGACTGGGAGTTCCGCAACAGCAACATATTTAGCCCCCAGAAAGGAGGGACTGCCTACTGTCAACCTTCAGGGACCTCGTCTGGCTGAAGCAACAAAGGACATTGATCAAGAAAGGGCACTGATCACCTTTAGAAGGGACTCTCTGATGCATCTGGTAGTTGGGAACAGTGCTGGGCTGGCAACAGATGCAAAGAATGTGAGATGCTGCTAGTCCCATCTATCCTCATCCAGTGGCCCATGAAAAATGCTGAGGGAATTTCTGGAGGATCCTAGAAAAGCTTGTCATAGTTCCCCAACATTAATGGATAAATAATATATTCAGCTGAGAAGCCTTTCTTTTGCTATTTTTTCCTTATACTTCTATTATTGCTTTTCTTTTATGTGAAAGATATATTCAATAAGATAGGAAAAAAATAATGATTTTCAATTTTTTTTCTGAGGGAAAATAGGAAACTAAATTAAAATGGATAGCAGTAAAGAGCCATTAAGGTAGTCAAATGGAGTGTTCCTATATGGTCCATTAATCTATGTTCTTCAAGAGGCTGAATGCAAACAACTTGAATACATTATACCTGAAGGGTGTGATACTGGACCATGGAAACATGATCCTGGTGCTGCTAATTTCAGAGTAAAATGATTATTTTTTTAAAAATAATTAATTATCATTGTGTTTGCAATAAATCTGTTATTTTTCAACAGCACACACATTGTGATATTAGTATATCATATGTTACATCTGGTGTACTTAGAACTTTATATTTAATATGAGAAATGAAAAATATTTTATATATCATAAAGAATTAAGCCACAGAAACCCAGCTGCAAACATGTGATTGAATACTGTCTCTTTAAGAGCAGGGCAAGTAGGGAAATCAGGCTTTATAAAACAGTGGGTGTGTCTACATTAGATGCTAAATACGCAGTAGACCGGGGTGGGCAAAATGTGGCCCATGGGCCGGATGCGGCCAGCTAGGCCATTCTATCTGACCCCCTAAAAAATTTAGAAAATTAATATTTATCTGCCCCAGGCTGCCTGTCATGCGGCCCTCAATAGCTTGCCAAAACTCAGGAAGCGGCCCTCCACCCAAAATAATTGCCTGCCCTTGCAGTAGACTAATTCTACTGTGCATTAGTGTGTCATGGCAAAAGGCATGCTAATGCGCAGCAGAATTAGCCTACTGTGCATTAGTGTCACGAAAAAGGCGTGCACTGGCACTACTGCACAGTAGTGCCAGTTACTGCATATGGAGTTAGTGCTAAACTTAATGCACAGTAACTACAGCGTGTTAATGCATGTGTAGATGTGCCCAATAGTTTCCAGAGAGACAGATCTAGTAAGGAAAGATCAGCAGGAACTGCAATAAGGAAGATACAGGCTGATTTAGGAGATTTGAGGAATGGGTTGTTCCTGATTTTTTTTTAATTCTTTCTTTGTTTTCTGCTAAGAAACCAAGATTTAGCCTTGCACTTCATGAGTCCTTGCGGTTCTTAAACTCTCCAATCCATATGGCCTTGCATTTTAGTAGATGAAGACACCTATTTTTAAAAAGTGGTAACTGAGGAATGCCAATATTTTTAAGCATAAAATATTGACATAATTTTGGGATGTCCTCTTTACGTTTTCGAGTCTGATATTCAGAGGTGTTGAACACTCAGTTTTCATGGATATCAGTTGTTTCAGATGGAATAAAGTTTCTCAAGTTAGGCACCTCAAACTTTGGCTAACAAAACCAGCGGACACTTCTGAAAATGTGCCCTTAATGGCTTGGACCATGCTCACTCTGAATTGGTATGAGAAACAGGCTGTCAGAATAAAGGAATCCTAAAATCCAGTCCCCTGCCTTTGCCTCTAGACTGTACACCAGCGGTTCTCAACCTTTTTTAACTAAAGGCACCCCTCCTCTGACTCAAGGCACCTCTCAAATAATGCCAACTCATAATTTGTCACCCATTTTTTGAATACAGAAATATTACAGAGCAATTTTTCTATCGCAAAGAACTCTGAGACACCATAATAGACAGAATGTTTTTAATGCTGTGGATTTGTATTTGAAATGTCTGGGTCTATCTTGTGAAACATGTTTGCACACCTAACAATGCTAATATTGTGTGATGCCTCACAACACCCTTAAAAAGATCTTAGGGCACCACAGGGTGCCATGACACCCTAGTTGATGATCAATGCTGTACACCATCCAAAGAATGAAAGAGACTTTGAAATCCCTACCTGATGTGAAAAATAAAGGGTCCAAAGGGTGGAAACAAATTATTAATAATTAATAATAATAATAATGAATCAGAACTCCTAGACTTCGTGCTGAAAGCTGCAAGTGAGAGAGGAACAGTAGAAAAAATCCTGGTCATATCCATCTGCCCTGCCACTGTGTGACACAGGATGCTGGGCACGATGGACTTATGGTGTGATTCAGTAGATGCAGTTCTTATGTTCTTATAAAAATGAAACAAATTGCTTGCTAGACTACTGAGTCTGTCTTGCCACAACTTCTTACAGATGGTACCTTGGAGCAAAAACAGAATAGGGCACAGACAGGCAGTTGGTATTTCAGTTTCGCCATGGTTTTCTGGGCTCCTGTAAAAATTAATGTTGTGGCATTTCCATCACTACATTTAAAACCAAGTGAAGTACAGAGGTAATCCAGTTCATGCTATCTCATTCCTGTTTTAACAGATGAGCAGAAAATACCCTTTGATTCCAGCAGGTGGAAAATACCGATGTGACTGAAGTGACATCTTCTTCCTTTATGCACAGAGAGGGCTGGAAGTGACAAAGGCAGCTGATGATAGCTGGTTCTGAGTGACTTCTAAAAATGCCTTTCTTTTTAGTACAACTTCCGCCCCCATCCCCAGCAGTTCACTTTGTAACGCAGAGGGGACGGGGAAGCCACAGAGTAAGCAACTGGGTCTCACAGTAGACAGACACACAAAGCACAGGGACAAGGCAATGAGAGGCTGAAAGCCCAATCCAGTGGAGTCAAGCTAGCCCTATCAGGCTCAAGTCAGGTGGAAGGCAGGGCAGACTTGTATCTTCTAACAGTGTGTGTGCGTGTGTGTGTGTGTAAATACACACAACTCACTAAAGTCTGTGCTGTGTATACATGTATGCACACACGTACACACACAAAACTCACCAAAGCTTGTGCTCTGTGTGTGTATATATACACATACGGACATGTACACACACACATCCAACTTGCCAAAGCTTGTGCTGTGTGTGTATACACATACATACACACACGTGTACACACACATGCACACACAACTTGCCAAGGCTTGTGCTCTGTGTGTATATACACATACATACACATGTGTACACACACATACACAACTTGCCAAGGCTTGTGCTCTGTGTGTGTGTGTGTATACCCATACATATGCATGTATACACACACATACACATTCACATACAATGTGCCAAGGCTTATGCTGGACATGCGAGTGTGCATATACATGTACACACCCACACATGTACACACAGAAGGATATACACACACAACTTGCCAAAGTTTGTATTTGCACATGTGTATATGTGCGCACACACACACGCGCAGAAACAACTCACCAAAGCTCGTGCTGTGTGTGTCCATACACACACACAAACACACACACACGTTCAGCACAAGCTCCGGGAGCTGAAGCTCACTTCCCCAGAGGCGGATGAAGGGGCCGGGGGCAGAGGCTGCCCAGTGCCCAGTGTCGCCCGGCCAGGAGCCCTGGGAGAAGCAGTGCCCGCGAGGGCAGCGGGAAGCCCAGCTGTGCCCCAGCGCGGAGGAGGCACCCCGGAGAGCCCCGCGGCTCCCTGCCCCCTGCAACACCTCGGGATCGACGGGGACTGCCCGGGGCAGCAGAAGTTGCCAGCGGTGCCCCACGGCAACATCTGGAGGGAGGCATACACCTTCCCCCCCACACACGCACACATTTCTCAGGCAACCTCTGGAAAGAGGCATGCAGCCCCGTCCCCAGCTCCAGCTGTCCGATCCGCTCGCGCCCCCTCCAGCGCCCCGGCCCGGCTGGAAGTTTCTGCAAGGAAGCAGCGGCGGCGGCGCCCGGGACAGTGCCCGCCCGCCCGCAGGCGGCTGCTTACCCAGCCCTGGCACGAAGGTGTTGAGGAAGAGGCAGAGCACGGCCACGGGGAAGGACAGGTAGGGGAT